AAAGAGCTGGGGCTGAGGGCACACACCTCCACTGTGTGTGCACGGGAGAGAGCAGAAAGCTGCTCTCCAGCCCTCACCTGGGATCCACCTCCTTCCTATCTGGTTTGGCCGAATGAAAACCATGGTGACTCTCTAGTGGCCAAGATTGTGGGCAGGGCACACAGTCCCAGGCAGCTAATGAAGACCGAGACACCACCAGGCTCAGCCCAGCAAACGCCACGCCATTTCTAGAGTTTATTTTGCACATATGCAGTGTTAGGTCTGGATCAGCCTAGTCACAGCAGCACTGATAATCACAGATACTATATTATCAATACATTTTGATCATAGATAATAAAGACTGAAGATGCTGTTTATAGCAGAAAAGAATGTTCCCACTGATGGGCTCTGCCCATCACCAGAGCAGTCTGGCAGAGATTAACTCCAGGACAGTCTGGCAGGTTCAAGCAAACTCCCATTAGGAGCGAGGGTCGCTCTGCATGACCAGAAAGCCCTCCAAGCTGTGTCACATGATCTGGACTACTCAACAACAAAATGTCCAGAAGTCTGGATCACCAGCAGTTTAGCAGTGGGACCTGGGGTAAGGCACGACTGGGAGACTTCGCTTAAACTTGAATCACAGACCATGGTAATATATCAAATTAATATTAATTAAAAAATCTATGGTGAGTTTTTTTTTCTTTTTCTTTTAAATATATCTTATTGATTAAGATATTACATGTGTCCTTATTCCCACGTTACCCCCCCTCATGCCCTCACCCCCCTGTTGTCCGTGTCCATTGGTTAGAGTTAGACCTATATGCTTGCATGTAAGTCCTTTCGTTGATCTTTCCCCCTTACCCCCACCCTCCCCTACCGTCCCTCCAAGGCCCGACAGTCCAATCAATGCCTCTCCGTCTCTGGATCAGTCCTTGTTCATCAGTTTATATTGTTCATTATAATCCATAAAGGAGTGAGATCATGTGGTATTTATCCTTCTCTGACTGGCTTATTTCACTTAGCATAATGCTCTCCAGTTCCATCCATGCTGTGGCAAATGGTAAGAGTTCCTTTTTCTT